GGTTGATATTTTTGTGACTTATTTGTGGTAAGTTGGTTTTGAGGCGATTTGTGTTGTTGACATGTGCTTGTGATTGCTTTAATCAATGTTGATTAAGTTTGGGGACTCAAAGTTGAAAGTTGGGGTTTCTATGTCTCATAGTCGAAAAAAAAAAGAATAATGAGGATGGAGGAATAATTGGTGGAGTCGAAAAGCCGTTTGGTACAAAAAAATAAAAAATAAAAAAAAGAGCATGGGCTGCAACAGCTGCCAATCTGTGGGGGCTCTAGTGTATAATTCCAATAATTTCCGTATCTAGACGAGAACGAAAGGCTAAAACCCATGGGTTGTGACGGACCTGCCGTTCTCTACTTAAAAAAAAAGTGTGGAGGATGAGACATTTAGACTTCGGCTAGAAACGGAAGGGAACTTGACTTGTCAGCAAAGGAGGGGTGTCATTAGTTGCATTGATCAGTACATTCGTTATAAAGATTGACAAACTATGGTGGTCACTTGAATTGATACTTGATATGTTGGAGTTCCTAGAATGATTTCATCTTGAGTCCGGATAAATTAATTTGAGTTGTTTGAGCTATGCACTTATGTGAGAATTGCGAGGCCCTGAGTAAAGTTCCACGTACATGTTTTTCATGTCCATCTATGTGCTTTTAGTTCTAAGTTGCTTGAGGACAAGCAATGGTTTAAGTTTGGGAAGATTTGATTGGTCGGAAAAAGTGTGTACTTTATATATTTATTAGCGTATTTTTATATGCTTAGTTTTATCGCACTTATATATTTTTCGTCTTATTTAATTATTAGATGGAATCTTGCACTTTGATATTTTTATGGTTTATTTTTAGGATATTGGAGTGTTTTCGGCGGCGACGTGACATTGGAAGAAATTTAATCCGGAGCAGTATGGAGGTGTCCCGTACTGGCCCAACAGCACCCCATATTCAGACATCTGCTGGCCCAAAATTAATGTGAAGGAAATAATGGGCTCAAGGCCCACTAACTTTGAGCTGCAATTAATTACGATTTATGAAGGATTTAAATAATAGGACACATTGAGGGAATTGATCACGCACAAAGTCATGAGTTATTTGGACCCACTCATTAGCTTATTAAAAGGGGAATTATTTGTTGGGATTGAATAAGAGGCATCAGACGAAAAACAAAAAAAGCCGCCACATATACATAAGAAGAGAAAAAGACATCACGCAGAGAAGAAAAGAAAGTTGCGCGCAGATATACAAAGACGCGAGGAACCCGATTAATCGCGGAGGGAGGCCGCACCCGCACACGAAAGGAGATATTCTTATTCTCTTTCTTTTATTATTTATTATGTTAGGCTAGGTTTTTATTCTAGTTCCGGAGATGTTGAACCTTACGACTTGATGATGTTTAATTAATTTACGTGGTTGATGATTTTAATATCTTTTTGGAATTGTTTGTGTTATTTTGAATAATTCACTATGATGTGTTAGTCTTGTTTAGATTGATCACCTAGATTAGGCTTTTCATATCTACATCTGAATTAGACCTACAATCCGTAATTGTTGTTGTGTTTAATTCATAAGAGGTAACCGGAAGATGGTAACTACCGGGGATAACACGGCCTAATTAAGTGAACGAACGCGGTTGAGTTCACTACTTAGTCTAGCCTATTTTTCTAGTTCGTAAAGCAGCTAATTGTATTAAATCTTGAAAACGTTTTTCTGGACTGTACAAGAAGTCAGGTTTAATCGTAGAACGTCTCGCGGTTAAATTAAATAAGGAAAAATTCGGGTAACTGACCGTCTCGTTGCCTAGGGCTGGTAATTTCATAGGATAGCGAGATTTGATACCAGAATTGATTAGACGAGTTAGTCGAGGGTGTAGACGGAACCGTGAACTAGAAACTTCTCTTTATTTATTCCATTTTATTTCATTTCCTTTGTTTATTAGGATTTTTATGTTTAGTTTTTAACCCCATTTATCGCTTTTTATAATTTCAATTAATACGAGAAAATTCACGATTTGATTCACACTCCTCGTGGGATCGACCCTTGCTCGCCACTACTACTAGTTAGTAGAGGTTAGTCGAGGAAAATATAAATTTTAATTTTGCCGCGTTGCGACGCGCGGTCAAGCGTATCGCCTGGCATTACCTCCTGAGCTCTCGGGGGTACATAATGTTTTTCATGTTTCGATGTTGAGGAAATACCGAAAGACGTGTATGACCCGAGTCATATAGTTAGCTTTGACGGGTTAGAAGTCGGGCAGAACCTGACTTATGATGAACAGCCGATAGCTATTCTGGACCGAAAGGTTCAACGGCTGAGAAATAGAGAGATACCACTTGTCAAAGTACGTTGTAGTCACCACAGTGAGGACGAAGCCACTTTGGAGAGAGAAGCCGAGTTCAGAGTTAGGTATCCCGATTTTAAGTTTTAAGTTGTGCATAGTTATAGTTATGACCTCTGTACTTTAGTTTGTATTTCCGAGGACGGAAATATTTTAAGGAGGATAGGTTGTAACGCCCCGTTCAGTTAATAAATAAAACCGATTCACTTTGCTCGACTTTAAAGTGAAATCGGAAGTATTTTTCATAAAAATTTAGTTAGTCGTCTAAATGATATAAATTTCCTAAGTATGTGATCAAATTGTTAAGTTATGAGGTTCTATTAATTTAGACAAGATGGTTTATTTAAATTATTAAGAGTATATTCGAAAATATTCTAGTTTTTTTCGGTTGTTGTCGGAATTTAAGTCCGATTTCGATTTCGAAAAAAAAAAAATTATATTTATCTATATATTTAGTAAACATCAAGATGAACTTTAATATAGATTTTCAGAAAGGAAATCAGCACAATTTTAGAAAATAATAATAATAATAATAATAATAATAATAATAATAATAATAATAGTAAGTGATATTGTTTTTAAAATAAAAATAAAGTATTAAATTTAAGCCATATTATTTCTCATGAAATACCTTGATATTGATATATATATATATATATATATATATCATGTGATATGTTATTATAAGTTGGGGAATGATAAAAATAAAAAATTTTCAGCATAAATAGGAAAAATGCAGAAAGTAAAAGCGAGAAATTGAAAATTTTCGATTTTACGGTAATCGTTCGTTTTAAGTCGGAATTCGGTTCCGTAAATTCTATATTTTTCATTAAGTCACGAATTTTATCATGGAAATCAGATTAGGATCACATGATGGTCTTTTCTAAGCATTTACTATAGATTGGAGAGGTTTACAAGTTATGAATTCCATTTATTATCTTTATTTATTTTTATAAAAACTTTTCTAAGTATTCTTAAGTAATAAATGAGTCATTTTAGCTTAATTTCGAGCCATATCAAGATGTAGTCAAAGAGAAAAGTTTTGTCTTGATATATACAAGATGAATCATGCATTACAAGTACTTTTCAAAGCTTACTCAACTTTGTGCATGATTTTAGAAAAACATTAATGGCAAGGGCCCTAATGAGTTTATTATGATGGAGTGTGGATGTGAAGAAGGTGATGTTGTCTCCTTTGATTCTCTATATAAAGGGGCATCAGCTTAGAATTGAAAATCACACCAAAATAAGCAAGGTTTTAGCTATAGAGTGAGGAAGAAAAACCGAGAGAAATCTTGCCGAAGATAGGTTGAGATCAACTTTCGGAGTTTCATTTTCATATTTCTTGAAGGAGGTTAGATGCTAACTTCTTATCATGTGTTGTAGTTGAGATTAAGTGTATAATTATGTATTTTACATGTCATACATATTTAATTTTTAAAGAAATTTTAAGCATGAAAAATGATATGTTATTTCCAGCTAAATCACATGTTATATATGTCCTGTTTTGATTTGAATTTTAGCATGATATACATATACTGGGAAAATATACTATATATGGTTATTTCTTGTGTAAATTATGAGTACATAGGAACAAGAATTATGTCATTTAGTTAAGTATATTTCGAATTATAGATTTTTAAAATTTATCATGCAAATTGAATTTTTATGCCAAGTTTCAGCTGCTTATTTTAAACTCGAATAAGTCAACCTATGTGCATGAGAAAAATGTGAAATTTTAATGACATGTATACATATATGTTAAGAGTTTATCTGTTAAATTTCAGAATTTTATGTTGAGAAATGAAGGAGTAAAAAATGCTAAAACCCATGCCTGTTAGGTTGATTTTACATGCAATAGAACTCACTCCATATTCAAGCTTTTAATGTGAAACTTTTATCAATATTTCTTGTATGAGTATTTGTCAAGATGACCAAGTTTAAACTTGATATGATAAGTAGGTGAATTTTTAAAATTATTTGAAGTTAGGCGTAAATTAGCATAATTATATATTAATTTTAACACTTGAGTGGATTGAGTTATTGAAGTGCTTTTGATCTAAAAATTTTATAAGAGAGATAAATATATCTACTATTTAATTACCAAGTTAAATAATTTTTGTAGAGAGTTATGTGATTTTTGAGAAAAATAAAATAAAATACTTAGATATATTTGTTTGTATATGTGGTAGTTGTGGAGAGTAGAGCCTCCAACAGCTACATCAGTTGTTCAGCAGTTGCAAAGTCTTTTCAACATATCGGGTGGGGGACCTACACTGGTTATTATATTGCTTATAATCTTGTACCATGTATGAGGTATGTATGTAGATATTTTACCCGAACGGTAAAGTTTCCGTTCGTGGTCCAGTTAAGATGAGTTTATGATCACCCGGTCTTGTATGGAAGGTTTTCCCATCCTGGGTTTCTGGGGAGGCGACCCCCAGAGTGTGATCACATGATAATCCGGAAAGTTCACAGATGTTGCCCCAGTAAAGTAAAATTTTATTTATGTATATACTTAGTTCATGATATGGGATTATATGTGTTGTTTATTCAGTGTTGGTTTTTTTACGGAGCATAGTGGTTTTGCTCACGCCCCCATTATGTTTTTCAGGTGATGAAGTTCAGCATGGAGCGTGAGCCGAGCAGTGGTGTGGTGATGTCAGAATAAAGCTGGACAATTATTATGTTTGTGTTATGTTGATTTGTATTAAAATATTATGACTATAGTTATTATGTTTCCGTACTGATAAACCAGAACAATAAGTATGTATGTATAATTATGTTATGTATAATTATTCCTTATCTATATTCTTCAGTTAGATTTTACATGTTGATATATTCATGAGTAAAAGAAAGAAAAAGTAAGAAGTCATGTTAGTAAGTAAGTAATATCCCGCAAGTTAAGTTTTAATATTTTCGAAAACAGTATCTCTATCTGTCAAAGATAATCGCCAAAATTTTAATCAGAAAAGTTAGATAAGGCGGGGTGTTACATTTCTCTTTTTCTTTGCGCTTCAAAACCATAATCTCTGTTTTTCAATTTTTACCGCCTTTGAATTTTGCAATGTAGGCTCCGTTGGTTTCTTGCTGCTGAATTTTGCTTGGGGCGCCGCAACTGCACATCTTTCCAAGGATGGACTAAGGGATGCGCCTGGATTCTGGTGCACTGCTTCTTCTTTTTCGTGGTACAAGGAATTAACTTATGATGTGTTTGTTTATATTAATCTGCACTTTTGTTTTGGTTCATTAGTTGGCTTTCTTTTTTGGGTTTTTTGATGTATTGACCATCTTTGTGCGAATTATGAGGTCGTCTTCGGCAGGTACAATTGGAGTCTTCTTCATGGTCGACAATGGCGGGCCTTCGTATATATATTTGCTCTACATGTGGGAAGTTTCTTGCTTTTCTTCTCGGATAAATAAACTATTCATCTGACCATTTTATATGGGTTTAAAAACTTTTTGTCTTCGGCCTTCATTTGATGCTTTCGTTTGGTTTTGCTATAAGTTTTAATGGTGGTAATCGTAAGTAAGTGATAATGGCTTCTTCCTTTTAGTTGAAGTTTGAAGGGATTCATCAATATTTTAAATACATTACTGGCATGCATTCTATAGTATACATTGTTGGCATACACTCTCTTATATACATTTCCTCCATTGGTAGATTACCAATATATACACATTTAAAACTCTACTAATAATTTTAGAGGTGGAGGTGACCTGTTGAGACATCTACATGCTTTGGCAGAAGCTGAATCAAAAGTTTCTATTCATTAGAAGCGTTTGTCCAAAATCGATGTCAATGTTCTCTTGATCCTCTCTATCTCTAATTTAGTAATTTGATTTAGTTTCAAATGTAAGAATGAATTAAACTTGATATGCCAATAGAAAGGAAAAGTGTGTTTTATTAGAACTCGGGCTAAATTTATCATTCAAGTTGGATGTCATTACCAGGGAGGCTATTTGATTAGTCTTAATATTTATGTTGATGTTGTTTCATAATGTTTTGAAACTTTTACCTATTGCATCAGATTAACGAGCTCCTTCCTCATCATAGAAAGTTCAATGACCTTAAAACGCAGCTGGAGCTCAAATTACATGATGTCTCACTCTCGGAAAACAGAGCTAAGCAAAATGAGCATCATAAGGTTAAGGCTTATTTCTTTACCATGCAAAATAGTGTTTCAAATGTCAAGCCACACATCCGTTATTCAGAACTCCAGATTGTCTGATACATAATATTAATTCCTATCACATCAACATTTTCGTAGGTGATGCAGCTAAGCGAGTTGGTTAAGAAGATCGAGGAGGAGCTTGGAGCAGCAAAATCAGCCATAAAAAAGAAGCAGCTTTTGTATGAATAATGTATAGCTAATGTATCAGATTTAAAGATTTAGAGAAAGTAGACTTAAAGATTTAGAAAAAAAAAAAGATAAAGGCCATTAAAAATCAAATGCAGTTTGCTTCTAAGAACCTCAAGGTATGTTTTGTTGAAATGTATAACTGAATGACTCGGGGAAGACATCTAATTTATTTTATGACACTTACCATAACACAAGCTCCCTATTTTCTACTTATCCAAATATATTTGTAATGATTATCGAAATTTTCTAGCATGATTGGTCAAAATGCTAGAGACTGAGCAAAACCATCAGAATTAAGTAATGTTTATTTGATCTAATATTGAGTTTGTTTGGTATTAAACTACTAAATCCATTATTCATGTTACTTGTGCACTTAGGGCGATGAGAGTGAACATGAGAGGCTTATAATGGAGATGGAAGAAGCTCAAAAGGAACAAGCTACACTGGGCTAGAGAGCCTATTAGCTGCTCTGAAGAAGCAAATTCATGACCTCGATACAGAAGTAGGTTCTCTGAGACCCAAGGTACATTATAATTCAGTATAATACCATGTGAGTGTAAAATAAGCCATTTGTCGAAAAATTCTGTTTGGTCAAATGTTTTTATTATAGGTGTCTTCTACAAAACAGGATCATGATAATGTCCAATCCTAACTCAATATTGCCGGAAGGAAGATACAAAAATGCGCTACAAATTCCTGTTATTGCCGAGAAGCAGCAGGGAATTCAATACATGATTAGTGAGGCCAACGTAGTGAGAAAAGGATTGGAGAATAAACTAATTTGTTTTGTTTAGTTTCTTGAATCAGCTTCTAGATAGTTAGTATACAAGCAATGTCAGAATAGTTAAGATTTGAGAAACACCACTAAACATTCCCTGTACAATTCTATTCTACCATTGGTGGCACAGTAACATTCAAAGTCAAGTGTGACTAAAGTCTCTAATCCATAGTCATTTATAAATAATCCTATCCACTTAATGCCCAATCAATCTGCACAATTTGTAATTGTAAGCGGACTGGATTGTTTGTTCACATTAAATAGTGAATCTGAACACACTAAAATTTGGCCATTTTAATAGAATATTATCAAAAGCAATACTTTAGCAAGCAGTTAGATTTAGGGGCCCACAAAAAAGCAATCAATATTCTATAATTATAGATTAAACTCGGATCGGCTGTGTGTGCGCACAGACTGATGACAAATTTTCAATGTATTTTTAGATCGAAATTTAGTCCGTCGTGAAAATATGACCGAATTTGACGCGAAAATATGAACTGAACAGACTAAATTTGGGCCGGTTGTGCGTTTTTCTTTTACATTTATACTTGCCAAAAAAAAATGGGTAAGTGTATTTTTAAATATTGACAAATATTGGTTATAATTATAGACTGGACTAGAACCGACTGTGCGTGCACAGCCATCCGCCAACTAGTCAATGCTTAGATAAATACGCGTAACTACCATCATATATCCCATCATATATCCGCTAGATTATTATAATTATGGGCAAAATCTCTGGGAGCAGATATAATACTACAATTTTTCGGTTCAACATTAAATAGAAACAACTCAAAGGTAGCATCTGAAATAAGATACAACTACAATTTCATCCAATTTCCTCAACATACTGATACTACTTCCAGTTGACAAGCCTCATGAAATAGACAGCCCCTAATCTAAGACTTCAGCTGACATGAGAAAAACTTTTGATTGCCACAAAACAGCCGAGTCTTCTACTGAATAGAAGTAAATCCAACCTAAGCGACTGAAAGTTCACCACAGTCACTAACAACCACTCTCTTCCTCGGACGATCACCTCTGTCTGTTTCTTGAGATTCAATCAGCCTTACAACATCCATGCCTTCCAAGACTTGTCCAAACACAACATGTCTCTGGTCTAGCCATGGTGTCTGCAATTTTTTCAAACACGAGAAATTGATAAGAACACAACTAAAGCAAGATATCTTTAGACATTCTTTTGCTCAAAAAAATAATTACTCACTTCCCACCTTCCTTTTTAGTGGCAAGATGATCAATTTAGTATCCATATCACGATTAATTCAGATGAATGCCTAATGTGTTCAAAATATCAGCACAACACATAAAATTTTACAAGAGAGATGTCACTCACAATGTGAACTTGAAGGGAAATAAAAAAAGAAAGAGAAAAGGACTCGGGTAGTACAGGAGATTACAAGTTGTCTCACATGGCTCAATAGCAAAAATATCAAATGCGATCTTCATAAACCTCATAACCATCAGCCTGACAGTGTACATTAACTTGGAGAAAGTCGAGGAATTGTTGGTCTTAGGGCGCTATTGGATATAGAATATAACTAGTTTTGACCGGTGGAATAATTTTTTACACCTTTTAACTCAAAATCCAACTCAACTTTAATCTAACACTCTTACCTTTTATCAATATAATTAAATAATATCACTCAATCTCTCACACTATCACACATCACTTCAACATTAATTCACTAATCATTCATCACATATTTTTGACTACCTATCATGTCCAATAATATCTCTCTTAATTTAAATCACATCATCTTTAATCATTACATCCCGACGTGCAATATGTTTTATATTTAAATAAATTAACCAAAGTGGATGTGAATGGAGAGAATTTTAGTGGAATGATTATGTGGACGTCATGTGGAAGAAAGTGTGTGATTGATGTTTAAATGAATGAATAGGGATGCGGATGCCCTGATGCATTCACAATTATTGTATTAATTTTATTATAATTATTAATATTTTTTATTAAACTAATGTAAATGTCATGTAATAAAATTAAAATTATTTGTACATTTTTTTCCAATAATTTTTTTTTCCTTACAAAAACTATATACGTCTGCCAAGGCGTGAGTATCTTCACAACCACATGACCCGCCTAGGCACCACCTAATCGTTCAAGCGCCTCGAACGACCACCTAGGCAGGCACCTGGGCCGATTTTTACTACAGAGATTAATTCACAAGAACGCCTAATGAGTTAAAAATATCAGCCAATAAAAAAATTAAAAAGAAAAAGTGGCAGGGAATGAGAAACTTCAAGAGGGGAAAAAAAACTAAAAGGATTATGTAGTAAAGATGTGATCATCGTAAACCTCATAATCATTAGCCTGGTAGAGAAAGGTGGAGGAATTGTTGGTCTAAGCTAGGACTGAGCACGAGACTTGAAGATTATCGAACCGTTCCGTAAACCGTACCAAAATTTCTTTTGGTATGGTTTTGGAGATCTATAAAATATCCGTACCAAGAACCAAGCCGGAAACGGACTGAATAAAAAATAACCAAATCTAAACAAAGAATCAACTCCAAAATATTCATAAGTTTATATAAGTATAACATTTCATCTTATGCATTCTTTTGTACAAATTATTTTAGCCTTTGCATAAATCAACAGTGTATGTCAATAATATAGTCAGCGTTTCATGAAAATCTTAAATTTAATATATCGTTCTTCTTATTCAAAAGTTATATGTGTAAATATTTTATGTCATTTTTTATTTTGTAAATAATTGTTTTAATATACGTAAATTTTTTTAACTATATATGACAACAACATAGTTAAAGTTTCATGGAATCTAATATTTAATAACACTATTATTTTTTCCACAAATTAAATGCATATAATATGTTTTTTTCATAAATATTTTATCATTTACATAAATTCAACAATGTATGCCCATATTATAATATAGTTAAAGTCTCATGAATCAAAAGTTTATATTTGTAGAGTATTTTATCTAATGCTTACTTTTGTACATAATTATTTTAATTTTGTATAACTGTAATAACATACAACAATACATAGTTAAAGTTTCACGAAAATCTCATATTTAATATTACTAATTTTTTATAAAGTTGTATGCATATAATATGTTATCTTATGCTTTCTTTTGTACATAATTATTTTAGCATTTGCATAAATTCAACAATGTATTCCAATAATATAATTGAAGTTTCATGAAAATCTTATATTTAATAGTACTATTCTCTTTATTTCAAAATCTATATGCATATAATATTTTATGTTATGCTTTTGTTTGTACAAAATAATTTTAGCATAAATTTAACCATATATGACAAGAATATACTAATTTTTTGGAAAGGGGCATAATTTTACAAGAAATAAAAAAAATCTCCAGCCTGCACCGAACTGTCCCAGTTGACCCAAGTTGACCTGAATCAAACCTCGGGTTAGTTCGGGATGGAGATTTCTTCAAACCGGTTCGGTTGTAGAGATCCAATTTTGGAGATCTCCAAATTCAAGATGGTTCCAAAGATTTTTGGATCTGGATCTCAAACTGTTCCAATCCATTCTCAGCCCTAGATCTTAGCATCTTGATATAACCTTAAAAAAGAATTAAGAGAAAAGGGAAAGAACACAGAAAACCTGAAACATTTCCAACTTATCCTTTCTTTTTTATTCCCAAGTCTATGTTATTCGATATTCTTACTAAAGAGGAGATAATCTGAATTCATCCTCAAACAAGTACTAACTCCTGGGGCTATTTGCAAAAAGAAGATAACTCAACATTAATTAATTCTTCGTGTCTGTTGTTGCACTACACTTTCAATATTTGTAAGTTACAAAGCGTCAGCTATTCGCATCATTTACATGAAATTTAAAGCAAAAAACAGAATCATGATTGGGAAAAAAGCATGAAGCATGCTTAGATTTAACCAAGCACAATTACATATTGATATTCCAATTTTTTTTCTTTAATTTCCATTTTTGGTGCCTACACCCTGCAAATTTATTTGCATGCTCTAAGATAGCTGTATTGCATACTGCTACATACCTTGACAGTACAGATGAAAAATTGGCTCCCATTGGTATTGGGGCCAGCATTTGCCATGCTAACAACTCCAGGTCCAGTGTGAACCACTGCAGATTCAGAAACGTCACAGTTAATAAACAGAAGACGTTAGCTTCCCCAGTTGGAAGATTAGTAAAAGCAAAACTCACGCTTAAAGTTTTCATCTTTGAATGTACGCCCGTATATACTTTTACCGCCTGTGCCCTGGAAAAAAGATGGCCCAAGAACAGAACCAGTTATGGCATGTTGATACCAAAAGTAGGAGGAATTTCATGTCGATAAAATGTTTGCTGCACATTATAAGAACAGAGAACCAGTAGTAGTCCACTGGCCCAAGTAAAAGGCAGAAATGGTGTCAAGTAACTAAATGTATATCATCATCAATAATTCCTAAAGCATGTGCCAGAAAGATGCGACAAAAGAATGGGTCTGCTGGCGTACTTCAAAATGCAAGAAAATGATCGAAAAACCAAGTCCTGTTACCGAACAAGAACTATGTTGCACATACAGAATTTTGTTTCTGTTTTGAAGTTTTGTTTGCCCCATATCAATTAGTTACTAAGTTGTTACTGTGCATAAGTGTGGGTTGGGAACCACTTCCCTTTGAGCTAACTTTTGGGAATGAGTCGTGCCAGGTCCATTTATCATGGTATCAGAACACCTAGGCTTGTTTGTTTGGAGAAGACGTTGGGTTTGGACCTGGCGCATTTGGTTAGTGTTATAAATAGTGTTTGTCTCACATCAATTGGTTACTGCTATGTGTAAGTTCAGGTTAGACACCTTCATTTGAGCTAGATTTTGGATATGAGTTGGACTCGGACCCATTTATAAGTTTTGAACACATCTTTTGCAATTATTAATCCATAAACATAATTATTTTAAAATGATACAACTAAATCCATTCCATAGTATAATATCAACTCACATAAAAATATTGAATGTTATCAGGGATGAAGAGAAGGGGCTAAACCCAATATGGTGGAAATAAGTGACTCATCTATTAATTGTAACCAAAATGAAGAAACGGGCAACAGACAAAGGATGGAATCTGTGACCACATCAAAATATCATCGTCCGAGTAAGGATACAATAGTTAGTTCTCAATTGCGCTGAAAGTAAAACTACTTGGTAAACCAAAAGGAACAACATAATATTTCCTCGATTACCGATACAAGTTCCATGGTTGAATGCTAAATTTCAAGCTGGTAGCTATGGATAAACAATTGATTACCCATCATTACCCATCCTTAATTTTTAGGAAGCCAAACCACTAAAGGCAATTATTTGCAACCATGTACACAGTCCAGACTAAAGAGGCTTGTCAAATATTATCTCCATCAGAAAGCTTAGGCCAAATCTTACTGACACTTTTAAGGGATGATTAATATAGAAGAAAGTGCAAAATGGAAGGAAAGACTTCTGGACCTTATGGTCTACTGGCAATTAATCTTTCAACCAAGAAGAGAATGATAATTGTACTGGAGTACAACTTAGAATGCTGCACAATATGAATATAGTATGATTTAGAACGCTTCTAATAAAATAATCGTTAAGAGTTTAACCGAACTAATAACATACTTTCATCAAACATCTCTTTTGATATTCGCCAACCATAATCCACCTAACAGAAAACAAAATCTTATACCAAAATATATTCAGCCAAAAATAACAGCTTACATTTCCTTTGTCAAAATCTCCACCTTGGATCATGAAATCCTTAATAACACGGTGGAATGAGGAACCTTTGTAGCCAAAACCCTTCTCCCCTGTTCAATTCAACATATGTGATAGGGTATAGTTATAATTGAAGAATTAATTTTATTTGTGAACAATATGCCATCGAACATGAGTTAGTATATGTACCTGTGCATAAAGCACGGAAGTTTTCTGCAGTTTGTGGCACGTCATCACCATACAAGCCAATTACAATTCTTCCAGCAAGCTTTCCTACAGGGTTTCCAATGCTTATATCAAGATAAACTTTGTGTGTCACTTTTGATTGAACAGTTGCTTCCTGAAAGAACAACAAAATTAATAGGCTGGAAAACATAGATTTGACTACCTGAAAAATCTACAATTCGAACATGCTTTCTGGAAAAGGACAATTATGCAGATAATTCATGCAAACAGAACTAAAAAAAGCAATAAAAAGTGTACCAATTGCTCTACATGGTAAATGCACTGTCGGCAGAACATAAGTTTCTTCCACGCCACTTCAAGACTCAACAGTAAAAAATGCAATATCCAACATAATAGGTTGTACCAGTTAATAATGCTATAATTATCTTTCAATCCAATCCAAAATTCAAGGGAATTATGATAGACAACTGAAGTATAAATCTAGGGATTCATAACAATGGTTCATTCTTTCCTACCAGAGTGGGTGGAGCTTACACCAGGTTATTCACCGTTGGATCACACATACACATGCATACACCCATGTGAATGAGTGTTGATGTTACGATGAAAAACCAAGTGTTGGCACTAGCCACAGCACTAGGATGAAATATACCCACAAAAATATAGAATAATCGGTCTATGTTTCACATGTGTCCATGTTTTAATACTAAAGAAAAAAAAAAAAAGAAAAACAATTATAGCACACAAGAATCATTTATATTCATACAAGGGTTGAGCTATGAAAGATAAAACAGAAACATAGCACGAATGACACAGAAAGGGGTTAATAAATTAACTAGCTCCATTTCTCTGGCTTATTCCAATTTCTATGTAGCTAAAATGTCATATCAGCGAAAACAGAGAAAAGGCCATCCAAAAGGGGGGAAAAGGAAAAAGAAAAAGAAACCCTTACTTCAGCCATAGCTCGAACTGAGTGAGGCTTAAAGCCACCTCTGCTCCTAACTGGAAAATCCGAAGAGAGGCAGAACGAACCGGACAAAGAGTTCAACGATGAAAATGAAGATTTCCGAAGCTTCGCATACCCAAAGGAGCAAACTGCGCTCCTACTTTTGGTAGATGAGACACATTGTGGAGCTAAAATCGCGCTAACATTCGACTGGTAGAAGATGGAGATATTTAAAGCAAAGAAAGGAAGATAACAATGTGGATTAATAGCGAAACAATTGACCAACTGGGTTTTGAAGGAAATAGACTTACCAGAGAAGCATACGCCATCGCCACTGGATCTGGAATGTGTTAGGTTGAATTAGGATAGTGTGAGAGAGAAGATAAGAATACTGTGAGCCGTGGTATTTCAAGAATCCGGAGCCTCTGCAGCGGCAGCACCTTCCCCTATCTGCTGTATCTAATGAGGACCGTCGAATTAACTACTTAGATATCCAACGGTTAGAAAGTTTCAAGAATTACAAATTATTTTTTTGTAGCTCTTCTTCCCAAAAAATATTTTCTCTCTCCATCCCAATATTTTCCTACGTTCACCTTCATTTTTTTTTCTTTTTTGGTTCTCCCAAAATTTCAAGAAGCATTTCCCCTTTCATATTCCAATTTGCTGAAAAAAAAAAGTCATTTAATTATCACCTAAATTAAAATAACTCCATGGAATGCATATATTTAAAGGTTCTAAAATAGATTATGTTAGAAAAATTGGTTTTATATAAAAAAAATAACGTACATATATACTATATAAGTGAGTAGAACTGCATTGTAAAAATAATCTAAGAAAAAGTTAAACCCACAACGGGGACGAATTTATAAATTAGGTCAAAACAATATGTGAAGTTGAATGGCTTAGAATTTTTTTTAAAAATATTACTTGTTAGAATAAACAACGTCTATCGTGATGATTCTTTGTGATAATCAATCGACGATTCGAAGGATACAAAGTAGATTGTACAAATTTAAGTCTCGATATATATATATGGAAGTCTTTATTTTATAAGATAATTACTTTATGTGGGGTTTATATCAATAGACCGCACGAAGTCAAAGATTAACCCCGATAAATTGTATAAATCGATTAGGGGAATGAGCATAACAAAAGCCACAACAAATAAACAGTCTCAGTGGCAACCCAACCATGGGAGTCGGAGCTCCTGACCGTGGATTTTATCATCAATTTGGTAAATTAATTTCAAGAGATAAAATTTTCCATTATAACGGGTTGTTCAAAAGGATTTTCCATCCTCCCAGCAAATGCTTTTTCCTAGATACTTGGGTTCAAATACCCGAGGATTCGTTGTTTGCTTACTGACTCCATATAATTCCAAAAAATCGACATCAATCTGTTGCCGTATGGATTTGAAGCAACATAATCAATATGTATATGACATAGATTCACACAGTAGATAACAGTAATATGAGATTTTATTGACTGGTGAATGGTCGGTGTGTCCTTAATTGAAAATGAAAGTGGTACAGTGTCTCCTCTCCTTTTTCCGGGGGAATTCTCAGCTATATATAGTAACTTTTTTTGGTATACATTGTTCCAGGTCTCCAATCATTTTGGATTTGTGCGAAAAGTAGCTTTAAATGGGCGGTTGGGTCATTGCGGCTCACGATCATCATGATGTTGGACACGAAACGTAAGGAGGTTGCGTAGGTGCCTGATCACCTGCTTGGCGAACTCGGTTACATCCGAGGTGGGCGGTAGTGTCGGTAGACAATGGTAAGGTGGTAAGGTAGCGAGAAGCCGGTAATGTTGGGAAATCGCAGCAGGTCGGTAGTAGTGTGATGTCGGTGGAAGGTGTAACCGGAAGGTGGAACTCCGAGGCGAGGTGTAATTCCGAGGTCACGTGCTTTTTACAAAGGAGAAGAGCTTCTGAGGCCATCCGACGTGCTTCATCTTTATCTTATATTAAACCGTAGGTTTTTCGGTTACATTATCTGTAACCCGTCTTCATTTGGGTTTGGAATTATTTTCGAATTTACCAAGTCGGTGGTCAACAGAGAGGCCCCCGACGATAGTAGGTATACGGAAGTGATAGCCACTAACGTCGTCAAAAAACTTTATGGACCCGACTTGGGAATGAGCTCTCTAGTCGGTTCTCTTTACTGTCGCTGCATTCCGGAGTGTCAACACTTAGCGAAATTTTAGTCCACTCGCCTTAATGAAAATACGTAATGAAACGATGCAACGGTCTTGGACAAGGGCTTTTAAAGCGACGGCTTTCGAAAAGACGTGCTAGCATTGAAGACGTGCAACGGATAAATACGTAGGTTGACACATGGTGTGATGTTATTCGACAAAGATGAAAAGCGAGGGGTCGCGTCACTTGAGAGTCGCGCGTGTGCCTACGCGCCCCCAATTTGCACAGTAACGGTCACAACGGAAGGGTATAAATACTGAAACTTAGAATTAATTTAGGTTTTCAACTTTGTCTTCATCTTTGATTGTGCAATTTCTGCTATCTTTATTTAGCTTTCACCTCTGATTTTCTCGCACTAAGGCTTCGAGTCACGTACTATTGTCTATATATTCAATCGACTACTACCGCGATTTCTATTTCGTCGATTGATATCAGGGTAAGCTATTATTTCGATTTCTTTACGTTCCAGCCTTTTGTCTATTTCGCTTTCGCATATATTTTTATCTACTCGCGAAATGGTGTCCTTAACGAAACCCGGAGAGACATCTAGTAGCAGGACGTTATCTGAAGAAACCGTTGTATTGGACTCCGAGTTGGTGGAATTGTTATTTGAATATCATCGGTGGGATCCCGTGCTGGTAGAGCACTTAAAAATCGGTATTAACAGCGTAGAGGAGGATGAGAAGGTAGAGCGGATCGCTATGACTGTGATGGATAACTGGAGAAGGCCGATTAGGAAATGGCCGGATGTGAAAGTCGATTACTGGGGAGAACCGAGCATTCTAACCGATGCCGACGTTGTCCTCCTCCGAGAGCACATACGAGTACCGGCTTCGGTCAAGATGCTTGCGCCTTACCCCGGTGAGAGGATAGTATGTCCGCCTCCAGGGTGCGTAGGAGTTTTTGCCGATAGTTTAAGATCGAGTCTGCGATTTCCGCTGCCCAATATAATTACAGAATATTTACGCGATTGGGGTCTAAGTATTTGCCAGATTACACCCAACAGTTGGAAAAGAATCATAGGACTAATCATTCTTTTGAACGAGAAGGGTTGGGAAGCGCCCTCTCGTGATGACATTAGAAGTATTTACACCTTTAAGAAAAGTCCGAATAGGAAGGTGGCCGAATCTTCCTGTTGTTTCTTTGCTGGAGGTAGGCCGCAAAAGGATTTTAAGATCAGTGAGTTAGTCGATGATGTGCCGGATACACTGCACGAATTTCAAGAAGAATGGCTTTGGATTGGAGGGGACTGGCAATCTGATGCTGTAGTTCATGGCTCCCTCATAGATGGGATGACAATCCCCATGAAAATTGTTTCTGAATATTGTAAGTATCGTAATATTTGATGATATTTTTCTGATAGTTTGTCGTTTTCTGCACTAACAGGTTGGAACTTTTCCCTGTTTGTAGCAAAACGGAAGAAAGAGCCAAAACTCAATCCGGAATTCGGTGGCAGACTATTAGAGCTTTTTCAGATTGCCAAGAAGGATCGTAGCTGTAAGAATCTAATTGAAGAATCGAAACTCGAAGCAGCAGAGTTGACTGTGAAAGCTGAAAATCTGGTTGCTTCGTTTGATCCTGGTACGCGTGTTGTGTATTTGCCTTTGACGTCTTTAATGTTGAGAGTAGAGAAACTGTTAATATTTCGTTTGCCTGACTTGTTAATACCGCAATGATATGTAGTATATTATCCTCTTCTGGGGTATTTGGGATACGGCAGCATCGAAGACGCAAAGGATTTTAGGCGTCGATTCGCGAACAAAGAGCTATCTTCGAAGTTTTGTAAAGGCCGCTCACAAAGATTAACAGACGCAATGAGGAGGAATTTGGTCAGAGCTTTCCGTAAAGGCATTGTCGGGCGTTAGACGGCCGAAGTCGGAGCTGGTGCGACTTTGGTGATTAACTTAGGAAGCCCCGAACGTCAACGAGAAACTGAACTTCCTATCGGTGACGCTAACGTGGTGACCACCGAAACTTCGAATGTGGTGACGGCGGAAAATGTTGAGAACACCGAGCAAGCTCTGGTGCAAACTGTGTCGATTCCGGATGATACCGAAGCCGTCAACACCTGTGTAATCGTGGATATTGGGATTGGACGGGAGCAACTTGAGTCTTCTCCGAAGACGAAGAAAAGAAAATTGAAGAAAAGATATGCGGAAGACACTCCGGTTGAGACCGAGACCGAGGAGAGGACCAAGAAGAAACATGATCGAGGTTGTAAGGATAAAGATGAAGGTGGTGGGACGTCGCCATTGGTTGATAGGGCCTTCCTTTCTATTGACAAAGAGATGGAGGCTAATTTCACTTTACCGAAGGGGACAGTAGAGGATTGGTACACCACCTTTCAGTCTGTTCGGCTTCCGCGCATCACATTGAGGACCAATTTACCAGATCATGTTCTTGACGCTGCTCGGATTCCCATGATGGCTCGGGATCCGATGACCGAAATGGGAGTCTCGTCAATGCCAAGTATTCACAAGCTTGGCTATGCAAAAGCGTGTTTAGGTCGCGCTCTTGTTTCTTTGGTCATGTCTGAAGATGACTATCGTATGAATGCCGCTCAACTTAACGAGAAGAAGGATACTCTCGAGAAGCGTGACGAGATGATGGTGGCTTTTAAGGAGGAAGCTGTGAAATCCGAGGCAGCATTGAAAGATAAGGTGGCTGAGCAAGAGGCTCAGATTGCGGGAGCCCAAAGTGAGATTGCGTCTTTCTCTGAGGAGAACAAGAAATTGAAAACCGAAATACACACTTTGGCTGACCAACTGGCATTGTCCGAACATAAAGCTAAGATGCTCGAGGACAAGATGCGTGAATGTGAGGCCAAATTGCAGAGCGAAAGAGCTGAACATCAAGAGACCCGGAGAGATCGTCTCGCTAAGCAAACCGAATTAATCAGAGCTCGGTAGGCTCATGCTGCCGAGGTGGCGAGATTTGAGGAAGTGAAGACTGCCTTTGGGCAAACGAAATACGAAGAGGGCTTTCTGGCCAGAAGGAAGGCAGGAATTGTTGCTGCCGAACAAGCGAAGGCCAGTGAAACCGAGAAGGCTGTAGATGATGAGCCTAGTGAGAATGTGGATGGACCAGACCTTGACCTGGAGATGAATACTTATATTAATTTTTGGTGAATGATCGAGCGTTGTGAACATGGTTTCTACGATTTTCACGACTTGCGTGTTATGCTATTCCGTAAATTGGCTAAGTATGGCTTCGATCTAGAGATCAAGGGTGCGCATATCCCAGCTGATGAGGACGAACGAGAATATTGCGAATGGCGCCTTGATTGGTTTGAGGCGATGGATGATAATCCTGATTTTCTTCCCCTTTCGAAAGAGCGCGCGAAGACTCTCCGTCGCACGTATGTTAACATGGTATTGGAAGGAGAGGAAGAAAAAGAGGAAAGCT